GACGTGCTTGTATCCTAGCAGGTTTGGCTCAGTGGATAGAGCCCCAACCTGCGGACCAAGGGGTCCCAGGTTCAATTCTGGTCGAGGGTAGGCACCTCGGTTGCAGGCTCCTCCCCGGCCCAGGCCCTGGTCGGGGTGTGGGCAGGAGGCAACCAACCGATGTGTTTCACATCGATATTTCTCTCTGTCTTTCCCTTTCTCTTCCACTGTCTCTAAATATCAATCAAAAAATATTCTCAGGTGAGGATTTAAAAAAAAAATGATGTGCTTGCTATAATGAGCATTACTGATTGCTCCTATTTGAGGAGAGTATGGAGGGTGGTGGTTTAGATAAATGTCTTTGGGCTCAGTTTTCAGCAGACATTCAGAATCATTCAGTTGACTGCAGCTTTACTTGAACTTGGGGAGGCTTCTCTTTAAAACCTGCCATCGGTGCACCTCTGGGAATCTATATCCCACGTCATGAGCTCCTTTATGAATGGTGCTTCCGAGCAAGAGCACTTGGAAAAAGAAAGGGCCTTTCTGTTCTCATCAGAAAACAAGCTTCGTATTTTCAATGCATTCTGCTGACATATTTCACGTTTGTTCTAAAATTTTCCTCTCTCAAGTGTCAAGAGTTCCCCCTTAATAAATATTCTGAGAATTTTTAAACGAGTAATTATTTACCTACTCTTATCCGAATAAATACCGTTGTTGAAGGAATTCCACCTTTTAAAAAAAGTTGAACAGTTTGTGATTAAAAAAAAAAAAAGAAAGAAAAATCTTTCTGAAGAATGTGGTGTTCTGGGACAGAAAAAGCCTCATGGTCCACCTCCTGGGGACATCATGTTATAACACTGAGTGTATCAGACGTAGTCTGTCCCCCAAACACAGCCACCAGAGCTGTGGGTTTCTGTTGAACACTACACGCTTGCTGCACTGTAAATGCTTCTGCTCCTCCGTTCACAATATACTAACTAGCCTATGGATGCAACTTCACAGGTGAAGACCTTTTGGCAAGAAGTTAAAGTCAAGAATGAGCGTGGTGGAAAAATACATATTTTCCTTGCTTTCATTCAACTTAAACTGGAAACTGATGATTTCTGGACCGAAGCTTTCATCACACACGATGTGAGGTCTACACGGAGGACAAGCGAAATGGCACAGGGCTAGCTACCAACCATTTTCCTGATGAATGAAGCAAAGAAGCCCAGGAGATTGTCCTTTTATAAATGTCAACAGTTGTTAAAAAGGAAAAGAAAGAAAGAAACGTGACTAAGCTTGCAATAACTGACTTAGAACAGGGGTCAGCAAACTTTATCTGCAAAGGGCCAGATACTGAATATGTTGAGCTTTATGGGCCATATGGTCTCTGTTGCAACAACTTAGCTTGGCTGAAATCATGCAAAAGCAGCCGCAGGCAATACATCCATGAATGAGGGTGGCTGGGCTCCAATAATACTATTTACAGACACTGAAATGAATTCCATATAATTTCATACGTCACAAATGTTCCTCTTTTGTCTTTTCTCAATCACTTAAAAGTGTAAAAACTATTCAAGAGCCATAAACAGGTGGCAGGCTGGATTTGGCCCCAGGACATAGTTTGCTGAACTTGGAAAACTGGGAACAAGGGGTCTGAAGACAAGCAAGCTAGTTTAGTCATGCATTTTATGCCTGAGAATTGGAAGCTTGGGGGCATTGCAAATGTAAATATGTCCTATAAGATTCATTAAAGAGGAATTCAATTTAGTTTCCATATTTTGTACCATAATGTACTCTTCTTTAGGATTGCTTTTTACAAATAGAATGATGTTGGTTTTTTTAAAAAGTTTATTGCTTGTATATTCACAAATTATTCCACTTTTGGTTTTCACAGAATTTATTTAGAATGATGTGTAATTTAATATCTACTGAGTTGTGACATCTTATGAAGAAACTTAACCATTTTTTAAAGCAAAAGTAGATTGAGTTGGTGTTTAAATTTATTTATTTTGTAAGGTTTGTACTGACACTGTACTTACATATTTATTATACATAGCTTTCTTGATATTGCTTATGGATTAGAAATATTAGTGAATCTATCTCACTATTTGAAGACAAACCTCCTAAAGAGAAAATGTATGCTCTGAATACCTGAAGTAGTCCGGAATTTCATGTTTAAAAAGCTTCATTCTCCTTTCTGATTAACTGAAGAGCTATTGACCCAAGTCATACTTGCCACTTAATGTAAATTATTTTTAAAAACTTGCTGTATAAAACTATCATGTAAGTGCAAAGGTTGCTTATTCCTGGTGTGGAGCAAATTACAACTTTTAAAATGAAATGTGTGTTCCTCTAAAGTAAAATCCAAATTTTATCTTTCTATTGATACTAAAATTTGACATTTTTCTTCAAATTATAAAACTCACTAAAAACCCTAAACTTTGCTTTGAGAATTTTTTTTAACCAGTTATGAAAAAGAATAAAACAACCTCAAATCCTTCACATATTCTAGAAACAGAAGTGTTAAAAATATACTGCACAGCTTTCATGTTATTGGCTGTTCTGACTCAGCTTTCACACCAGCAGAACCTCGTCTGCTGGTCAGCAGAATTCAGGCTGTTGCAATTTGATGTCGTTTGCGCAGAGCTACGGGTTTCTTTTTAAATCACATAATCAGTCTATAACAAATGCACAATGCTGTCCATTTTTTAAAATATTCCAGAAATACTTTATCAAGCTTCTATAAATTAATAGGCATTTTTTCCCTCTGGTTTGGCTTACCATGTATTGAAAACTGAGTTACTGGCCTCACTGGCTAGAGTTGAGTAAAACGGCAGAGTAATAAAATGAGAAGCAAAACTAGTCTCCCTAGGTTTCCTATTTAGCCTTGACTCTCTTTATCTCCACCCCACCCCAGCCCACAACCTTTAACGTAGTTGATTTGGCTGTAGCACAAAATCCGACACACCATGAGACTGAGCATGGGTTTCAGCCAGTGAGTGAACCGGCCTATCGCCTGTGCTGCAATTCAACTTGGTGTTCATTCCATTTTGAGGTAAAAGCACATACTCTATTGTATTGAGTCTTTGGGATTTTAGGAAGGCACATTGTTCAAAAATGTTAAAGGCCGCCTGGCTGGTGTGGCTCCTTTGGTTGAATGTCATCCTGTGCACCGAGAGGTCACTGGTTTAATTCCAGGTTGTGGGCTCAATCCCCAGTAGGGGGCGTGCAGGAGGCAGCCGATTGTTTCTCTTTCAACATCCGTTTCTCTACCTCTTCCTTCCTCTCTCTCTAAAAATCAATAAAAACATCTTTTTTTAAAAATGTAAAAGATCTCCTCTACTATTAAAACTAACCAGCACCTACCTGGTGTTTGCCAAAAACATGACATTTTTATTGATGGCTTATGTGAATTATACAGCTATATTAGTATACCAAGTGAAACTATCCTATTATGTAGAATGCATCTACAATAGCCACACAGACTATACCCATTACCACTTCATACTTTCCAGACTACTAAAAATTTCAGTACAAACTTGTATCAGTAAAGCTGATATGGAAAAGAATCCAAATATGCAAGCTGGGTTTATTTGTGGGAGAAATATTTGAAGTTGCTTCACTAAAAACGAATACAGTCACTCTGTTAGGTAGCACCAACTTTAAAGCAAATCTATAGCTGGCAAGAAAGGATTCGAGTAGAAATCCACTATGATCTATGATGCTGGGAGAAATAACGTCCTGTCACCATCGGGAATTGGTTGCTTTGCAAAAAGTAAAATGATGCAAGGGTGGTAAGGAATTGAGGGTAAATTTGCATAAATCTGTAGGAAGTAACACTTGGGGCAGGAAGAGTCCTCTTGAGGGAATACCTCTTTTCATGTCATCCTTAGTAAGTATCAGTTACTTATAAAGATTCTCCAGATGGGGATAAATATGGGGTCTAGACTTCACAAAAGTGAGTTACAGGTGCCTTGTTTTTCATCAGATTTTGCCTTCATAGAAGCCTCTGAAGACACTGGGGGCTCATTCATGAAAGTGGGCCTCCCCTACTGTAATATATGTACATCCCCCCTCCAACATTTCTGTTGACCTCTCCTTGCTCAATTCTGAAAAGTAGTCGGAGTTTGCATACTGGTCTGGTAAACTTGAGTTAACTCTAAGACAAAGCTGCACAGCTCTGTTCCCAGGCAAATGGAAGAGCAGTTTTCCTGGCTGGTGACTGACCTTGTACGTGGCAGAGAGGCAGCCTGTAGGGAAAGTGTTCACTCTCCAGTGGCTGCCTCTGACTCCTTTCAGCTGCTTCTGTCACATCAGCAGTGAGGCGAGAAGAGGTGAATGCCGGGCCCTTCAAAGGTCATCAGAAACTGGAGATGGCCTCTTGCACAAAGTCCGCACTTGGGTCAACATTTCCCCGATACAGTGGCTCACTAACAATTCATGTGTTCTCTGCCACCTCCATGCATCAGCTTCTTAAAAGCAGCTCTTGATTGATGGCTAGGTATTCTGACAGAGGAATACCTGAAGTGAATATTTCTGAAATACTTGCTGAATCTCCATGATTATCCAACTATTCATATAGGTCTCTTAGATCCAGAATATACTGTGCTCAAGCCTGCCATCAAGCAGGCCTCTGAACCCCCTATTTCAGATGACACAGGTCTCCGAAATTTGAAACAACTCTGACACTGAACTGGGTAATGTCGAATTTTGTGCGTGTGGATGACTTAACTGTTGCAAGGTCATGGGAGACTGAGGCTGTCTAACTCCATTACCCCACTTCACCTTTATGTGCCTAGCAGTGCTAAGCACATAGTAGGTGCCCAATGTGTCATTTAAAAAAAAAAAAATAAGGCTGTAGCTTAGTATAGCCTCAAGGTGTGTCTGTTTGTGTGTGCCTATGTTATTATTAATGACTGCCATTATTCAGTTCTGAAAGTGAAACTCAATACAAGCCTATGTAAATAAATGCACAAATATATTTCAGCCTCAAATTCATATAGGATATTCAAAACCTAGATATATAACTTTATGGTCCTGTGAGTCTCTAAATATGTAACAAGAGGGTTAAAAACATAATACAAGTGTGAAATAGTTGAATTTCTATTTTAAAATTTACTTTTCACCTAGTTTCTACTGCCAAAGTGAAATATAAATGTTTGTGTCTATATTTGGGAAATAAATGATTTGTGGCCTGTATTGGTGACTTGTGCTCTGATATGGAAAGATGCTTTGGTCATCCAAACTATTCCTAATATTCCTGAACTTTGTGCTATGTCTAAAAGGTGGGTTAAAAGCAAATATTTATATGTTGAATCATACATTTCTCATCATTAAATAATCAAGCCTAAAAAATCTGGTCTTAGAAAAGCTTTTTAAAACCACATACAAGAACATGCTAAGAGATTATATGCACTGTTAAAGCTAGTATTCCCACTCCAGGAATGATAATGCAACTTTCTATTTTCATTACTTCATGACAAAAAAAAAAGCATTAAGCACTAGACCAAAATCATTGGCTTCTATAGCTCTGAAGCAATAACTGATCTACTCAGTTGGACTGCTGTGATTTCTTTTTTTAAATTCTCATATTACAAGACTAGGAAACAGAAAAGGCAGCTGTTTTATTCAATTTTTCACAGGAGAAATTTTTATAACCTGGTCATTAAACACTTATTTCATAGGCCATTCTTATAATATGGTAACAGCTGTATTATATTGCTTTATAATTATAAGAATAAGGCATTTTACCTATAAGGGACAAAAGAACAAAAAAGCCCTTCCCTGGGTACCCTTTATCCTTAAAACAGAATGGTAAGATGTGGGGCAGTTTTTCCCCTACCACCCTCCAGAGCATGCCAGAAAATGCAAAGGACTCTGAAGACCAGAATCACATTCAAACTTTCTTTGAAAGTAGCCAGAATGAGCACTCGTCCTTTTTTCAAAGGTCAGATGACATTCCTTCTTGAAGTGTACCTACCATCCAGCAAGAGCCAATGAACCTGGTGTCCAATTTCAAGCTATTTTTTCTTTTCTCAAAAATTTTCATAGAAACATACTCAAATTTAGAATTTTTTCTCACTTCCAACTATGGTGGTGTAATAGTAATAGATTTATTTAGTTATAAAGATTAGCTAGCTGAACTGTAAAAAACAATCTCACCATCTTGTTTATTCTGTGCTCTCTGCCCTCCTTTTAATCTAGCAACTGCATCCCAATAAATTCAGTCCAAAGATTTTTTAAAAAACTAACTTAATATGTATATTAAATTTCAAAAAGGCAACATCATTAAGAAAGAAGTTTCCAAACATTAAGGGAGGAAAAGGCGTTGGATTCTCCTTTCTCAATGAAAAGATGTTTCAGAATTAGGGCAGAATCCTGCACCATGCAGAGTAACTCTTCCACCTTGGTGAATTTCCCTGGGAAGTTTCCCTGTACAAAAAGAGAACCATTATCTTAATGTGCGTCTGCACAAATACGCAAGTGCACAGGCAAGTCCACTGGCTCTTCATCCTTCTGCTACCGTAGCGATGTCTTCAGATATTTGGTGAAATCCAGAGGCAACTGAGTATCGACTTCATTGCAAAGTCTTTTCGTTAGCTGATTTAAATCTTCATTCAAAAATGAATCCCCTTGTAAAACTTTATCCTGAAGAAATATTGAAAGTATGAGTTAAAAGTTCTTATGCCAACAACAAAAGCCAAGCTGTGAGCAGAGCTAAAAATGGCAACAGCTAACACCAAACCAACCACATATGAACCGTAATAATGACGGGGCTGGTCCAGGCGTGGACATACCCTACACTGAATAAATGAGACAGTCCCATGACTGTCCCTATAGAATTCCAACCCCAGAGATCCGTCCTACATCACCAACTACGCATGAAAACAAACAAAAAAATCTACCTATAAACACTTAGGCAAATTGGAATCAGTTATTAAGAGCATCACCAACTTGCGTATAAACACTTAGGCAAATTGGAATCAGTTATTAAGAGATATATTAGTTTAGTTTAGTTTTGATTTCATCTTCTAAAACTATAATGAACAGTACCACGTACCTTCCTTTTGGAGCTTGAAGTTTCCACAGGAGGATTGAATGTCATTGCTGCCATGCTGTAAGCCTCAAAGAGTTCTATAGCAGATCTACAGTCACAAACAGAAACCCACAGTCACAGAGACACCACCACACTGCGTACCTTGAAAATAGTGAATCGTACTCAGAGAATGACTCACTATTCTAAATCCATCCATTAAGATACAACGTGATCCTGCTTTTGAAACCAACAAATCAACACCCGCAAAATAAATCCTAAATTCCCAGGTGTTGACAACATTATCCAACGAACTCCACCTCCCAGAGGTCTGGTATATATTCAGAAACACGGGCCTGAACAGAGAAGGCTGAAAGAAGAGCTCAAACTCAATGTGACCAAATCCCAGCTCAACCACAGTTATGTAAACAATATGCAAGGAGTTTCACTCCGTCACAGGAACCAGAAGAGCAAAGCACGGAGTCATCCTCCATGAATTCCAAACAGCTCAACCCTTCAGTTGTTGGCCTGAATTAAAAGCCAGAAGAACCACTCTCCAGAGAGAATAAATGTCTATAACCATGGCATGAAAATGAGTCCTTAATGATTTGGGGTTGGTTCACGCGATGAGGTGATTAGGGTCACACCCCAAGCTCCACATCTGGGGGGAAAACAGCAGGAGTCTCCTTTCTCAAGCCTTTGGAATGAACCAGTGCTCATCTTCCTCCAGAAAAGAAAACCTCTGGCATAAATGAGGCAAATGTTCAAGAGCTCTGACCAAAACTTGCCATGGGGGAAAAAGGGTAATAAAGAACTGTTTTCTCCTTTTTTTCCCTTTTGAAAACAAGGCTGAAAGACAGGTAGAAAGAATGAAGGAAGAAAGTACATGGTCATTTTTAAATTTTTATGGCCAAAAGTTATCTCTATCCTACCCAGAAGTAAAAGGATTTATGGAAAACTGCAGAGTTTAGCCTCATTGAGAGGGGTAAGCAGCTAATTACTGCCATGTAAAAACAATATAGCCCCATCTGGCCAAACCTCCCAGAGTGGGAGGTGAATGCCGGGGCAGAGATCCGAGCTTCTTGCAGGTCAGAAGGCCAAGGAGAGAAACTGCTGCCTCCTGGGCAAAGTGTTTCCAAAGCCCTTTCCTCAGTTCTCCCTCCCTGGCCTTCCCAGGACCATTCAAAAGAAAAGGAATCGCATTGTATTGGACTGATGGATCGTCACATAAGTGAATACAGCACTGTCTTACTAACTGTTGAACTGGAGTCATGGGCATATGGGGATTCACTATTCTGTCTACTTATCTGTATGTGTAAAAAAAAAAAATGTTGTGATTACCTGAAACAAACAAATAAAATCAGAGTCAGCATGTTTTCTCTCTAGAACAATTCAGGAATATAAGTGAGACCTAATCCAGATAACCAGCTAGCACTTTACATGTTAACTCTATTACGTTATAAAATAGACTTCTCCCAGTGCAGACCTATCAACTGAAATGTATGGTTTAATAATAAGGCGATGCTAGCTACTACCTTCGGCTCAGCTCTGGTTTGAGTGCTTCAGAGCCTTCCAAAGGGGCTCCCGCGATCAGGTGAGCTGCCAATCTCCGCACTATGGGATGGAAATGTCGCTAAAGGGGAAACAGGACAACATTTGTACAGGTCAGTGTTTTATAAAACACTAGCTACAGTGAAGATTTTATTTAATAAGCACTAATTTAAAAAAAACTATAGATGTATATATGTGATTCATAAGGACCACATAACTACAGGAAAAACACTACCTTTGTTCACAGGATTACAACACAAATCTGATGAGCAAGTCACCAGTGACATAGCAGTGTCTCACTTTTACAGTAGGAAAAGGAAAATCAAAAAGCAACTTCTCTTTCACAGGGAAAAAGTTCGTTTACAACAGGCTTCCTGAACCGTATTTTCTGAGTCTCACTGTAACGCTGGCCACACCGTAGGACCACAACGTAGGTGAAACCCTATCGACACTGGCGGGTGGGCCTGTAATGTCTCCTTGGATGGGAGCCAATACAAATGTGTCTGGGACGGGAAAGATTCCAACAAATTCTACCCCACAAAACTGTCGTTTTCAGCTTCCTTAAAAAATGTATTTCAACATCTTAGAGCAGGAAAAGCAAAGTGAAATGTAGGCTATTAAAACACAAATTCTAGGAAAGGTGGACCCAGAGCAAAATACACTAAGTACTCTGGCAACAACTACTGGGAAAAGCTGAACACAACTGCTCGCACAGTGAGAGGGAGGGGCAGGCTTACCCGCAGAGCGTGCAGCTCCCACAGAGCGGTGTTCTGGGCATTGCAGTACTCGGGCTCGTCCAGCTCAGGAAGGAAAACCCCGCTTCCCTGAGACTCATTGTCAAGCAACAGGTCTGTTTTGGGGAAAGTCTGCAAAAATGTCACATCAGAAGGATTAATTAAATTAATGTTATTAGTTTAAAGACAGTTACTGGGTTCTGCACGTTTATTTATACTTAAATTTCATTTGGTTTTATGGCTATAGAAGAGCTATAAGCCCATGAACTTCATACCCAGTTTTAATTTTGTAAATTTAAGCTTTTACCATAAGAGAACAAAAACTGCAAAAGATTATTTTCTTGGCTTGCTCTGAAAAGAATTTATTTTATCTTGCAAGAGAAAATAGAATATTCTTTTCCCCCAGCAATCCCACTTTCAGGAATCTTTCCTAAAGAAATAATTACATTAGATACACATAACGCTATTCACTATAGCATTATTTGTTAATAGCAAAAACAATCTGTATGCCCATGAAAAGAAAAATACAAAATATAAAAGCCAGACTGCCTGAATTTGAATCCCACCTCTGCTACTTCTTAGTAGCAGCATCACTTTAGGCAAGTCACTCCTCCTCTGGACCTCACTTTTCCCCATCTATAAAATGGGAACAATAATAGTAGCTACTTCACAAAGCTCTCATGAAAATTAAGCAAGTTAAGTTTTGTAACACATTTTCACAGTGGCAGTCACATAGTAAGAACTATAGGTGTTACAAACAACCTCATTTACTCATTAAAGAGACAAGGTAGTTATATTTGTACTGACACAAAAATGTGTTCATCACCATTAAGTGTTAAAAAAAAAAAGCTATGTTGTTTGTGTATGTTTGGTGTGTTTATATATGAATTTTTAAAAAGTCAGCTGAGCCCTGACCGGTTTGGCTCAGTGGATAGAGCGTTGGCCTGTGGACTGAAAGGTCCCAGGTTCGATTCCGGCCAAGGGCATGTACCTTGGTTGCAGGCACATCCCCAGTAGCGGGTGTGCAGGAGGCAGCTGATCAATGTTTCTCTCTCATCGATGTTTCTAGCTCTCTATCCCTCTCCCTTCCTCTCTGTAAAAAATCAATAAAATATATTTTTAAAAAAACAAAAAACCTCCCATTAAAAAAAAAAGTCAGCTGGGATACCCACCAAATGGTAAAACTTGTAACCTCTGGAGAGTGTCAAGAGGGGCCGAATGCTTTCCTTTTGTAATTTAACGGACTTCCTTTATCATATGATTTTGTTACAGGTGTGAATTACTTTTTTATTGATTTTAGAGAGAGAAGAAGGAAGAGAGAGAGAAAGAGAGAGAGAGACAGAAATATCAATGAGAGAGAAACAAATATCGATCTGCTGCCTCCTGTATGGCACCTGCTGGGGATCAAGCCCGCAAGCTGGGCATGTGCCCTGACTCAGAATCGAACTGGTGACCTCCTGGTGCATGTGTCAACACTCAACCACTGAGCCACAGTGCCCGGGAAGGTGTGAATTACTTCTAACTAAATAATAATGTAACAGGGGAGTGGAATGGATGGACACACACACACCAAACAAAACACCATCGTGGCACTGCCAGAACTTAGCTCTCTTCAGTGTATCACCACTCACATGCATTAATATCCTGTTAGTTGCTAAAATGCCAATGCTTGAGTTGGGAAGGACGTGAAGACCAAGGGTGCAGAGGCGCTTGATGAAGGCCAGGGCTCGCTGCTGAGAAACCTGCTTTCTGCGCTTGGTGAGCATGACATCGAGGCACTGGAGCACAATCTCAACCCCTTCATTGGTAGCACCTGAAACAGCAAGACAGACCCTTCATTACTTTTCCATGATCCAAGTTCACCTACCCCAGAGACCCAAGCTCAACTGTCACAGGTCCCACATCACGCCCCAGCCCATGACATAGGGCTGTACTGCATCTCCAGTCAATTCTCCCCGGTTCTCGCTCTCCCCGTCTTACGTGAGGTTACATACACGTGTGGCACTGGCAGGCCCGCACTTCATACACCAGTTCCTATTTCTCATTGTTCATTGGCTATCATTCTGGTCACAACATATTCTTAAAGGAACTATTTATTAAAGACACATTATCTAACCATACGTACCTGCATGTAACTTGAACAGTGTTTTGTAGAGATGTGTATAGAACTTCATTGGATCAATATTCAGAACATCACCTTTTGAAATGACAACAAACACCAATTAAAAATGTTACAGCCTCCAAAGCTAAAGCAAACAAAACTTGATTATGAAGATATCTGACCTTGCCCAGAAAGAATATGAAAAGCGGTCTGGACACAATGAAGACTTTCTTGATAGCTTAGGTCCTTAAAAAAAAAAAAAAGATATTAAGAAGAATAATACCATTTATATCTTAAAAAGTAATTCATTAATAGAGATACTTACACCAGACTCAATGAGACTATGTAGAACTACTAATAAATCATCAAAAAACTCCACATTTATAAGGTGAGCGAACCTAAAAATCAAACAAAACATAGTTAAAAGGAAACCTAAGAACAGAAATAAAGCAGCCACAAATTAAACTTGACTTTAAATTTGTAATTTTAATATTCCTTATTCCAAATGTTAGCTATGATAGAGATGATGGAGAAGACTGGTACTTCTCATTCATTCAGACTGACCTTATGACAATCCATAGTTGGACACTATACTCAGCAGGAACATATGAGGCACTAAACAAACTAATACAGTATTTCAAAAACACTTCCGCCCTGGGGAAGAAGTTGCTAAGAGCAAACAACTTCCCCGAAGAAAGTTTACCGGGCATCCAGCACTGTTCTATGCCCTAAGAGCGCAAGCAGCATCAGCTTCCAGGAACACGGGTGGTGGGAAGAAGGAAGGAGGAAAGATTCTGCTATTTATCAGAATATGGACCCCATGAAAGCTTTAAGGGCAAAGAAGCTGGAGCTGGTGTCTAGTTCAGGCTCTGCAATGAATTACCTTTATGATCCTAGGTTAAGTCACAGGACTGGCCTGGGCCTCTATTTCTAGAAATAACTGAGATCACCCACTAGAGTTAAAGAAAAGGAATCATGGGAGCTACTAAACGTCAGAGGGCTCTACACATTACAAAAGATTAGGCCCTGAACTAGTTCAAGGATGTCTCTTCAGTATTAATTCAAGAGCCTTTGACACCATGTAAATCTTAGAACAGGAAAGGACCTAGAGGTCACACATTCCCCGTCTATTGGTACAATCTTTTTGGGATGCAGTTTGGCAATATTTATCAAAATTTAAAATGAACATACCCTTTAGTCTAACAATTATATAACCCAAGTACATGAGAATCCTTCCAGAGCAGCCAAATAAAAATAAAGCAAGGAAAGGCTGGTGACCAAGAAAAAGAGAACTGAGAAGGACACGAGTCATCATTAGGAAACCCTGACCAAAACTCATGGTTACTTCATTCTTATTTACTTAGAAAGAATCTAAAAGGTTTCAACCTACACAGCCCTTACTTGGCAAGACCTTCTAGAACTGCTGGCAGGAGAGGGGACCTCTGGGCCTTCTTCAGTATTCTGAAGTAAGTTACAAATACAATATTCAATGTCTCCGTGTGCTGGCCAAAGGAACAGACAACATGTCGTCAGTACAACCCAGTACACTTTCTCCTGAATTACTGTAACTATCATCAAAGCTCAACCTTTTTACCCCTTCCGCTCCCTCCCAACAATGCAATCTTAGGAGCTTTCACAAAGTGAAGCTTTAACAGAATGAAGGTACACATCCTGTGATTTCATAAAACCAGCACTGATCACATGATAATTTCTTGTACATCTCATATCTAAGTCTCATGAAATAAACCAAAATTATATAACCAAAAGTTGAAATAATAAGTCCCTAAAGTAGTTTAACAAAACGTTTTAAAAAGCACTGAACAGCAATTTTCAACCTTTTTTCATCTATGGCACATATAAACTAATTACTAGAATTCTACAGTACACCAAAAAAATATATCGTTTGCCAATCTAACAAAAAAAAAAAAAAAACGTATATTTTAAAAAGCACTGGACAGCGATTTTAAACCTTTTTTCATCTCATGGCACATATAAACTAATTACTAGAATTCTGCAGTACACCAAAAAAATATATCTTTTGCCAATCTAACAACAACAACAAAAAAAACACATATAATTTTGATTCATTCACACTGGATAGGTACTGTTTTGCAGGCTGTTGTCTTTTTTTTTTTTTTTACAATCTAAGGCAGCGGTTCTCAACCTGTGGGTCGCGACCCCTTTGGCGGTCGAACGACCCTTTCACAGGGGTCGCCTAAGACCATCCTGCATATCAGATATTTACATGACGATTCATAACAGTAGCAACATTACAGTTATGAAGTGGCAACGAAAATAATTTTATGGTTGGGTCACAACATGAGGAACTGTATTTAAAGGGCCAGAAGGTTGAGAACCACTGAAAGGGAAAACAGGTCAGTGCCCCTGACTAAATAGTCAGGTACTGCATGTTTAAAATTTCTTGCAGCACACCAGTTGAAAGTCGCTGATATAGGGGAACTGCCTACCAGTTTCAGTTTTTTCTCAGTACTCTCTGAAGCTTCCGCCTCCCGAAGCTCTCGCTCTAGTTTCTCTTCTGCTTTTTTCCACTGAAAATAGATTGAAAAATAAAGAGTATGTATTATCCCATTGAGTGAAAACAGCAACCTTCAGAGAGATAAAAGACGTAAGTACTGTGAAACATACAATAATACCACAGCTTCTCTATGAATGCAAATATAAGCAAAAGCAGAAAAGCATGGATAAGAAGCATACACCAACCAAACTTATGGCAGTGGTGGCCTCCTGGGAGGAAGGCACTAGAAAGAAATAGGGAGACCACAGGGGATTCTAACTCTAACACAATGGTTTCTTCCTTTTCAAGAAAAAAACTGAAGTCTTCATATTTGCTCATTCAGAAAGGGGAATACATGGGATGTGCTATATTATCCTCTGTAGTTTTCTATAATTTAATTTTTTTCAAAAAAGGAAGAATATGCTGAGCCCAGAAATAATTCTTATTGTTAAATCATCTACAACACAGAAGCAAGTCATCACCAAAATTTCCCAAACTCCTTTATATACAATGCGTAAAGCCAGATACTATATAGAAATTCAACAAAATATCTATTTGTTTCCACTTCCTTCCGCTCTAAGAGCAGCGAACAATGGTTGCTAAGCTGCCTGAGCCATAGAGGACTGACTGCCTGAGAAACAGTTTCCTTCCCTCATGTGAGGCTGATAAAGAGCTGGGCCTTTGTTTCCCCACCATAGTTAAGTATCCAACTTCCGTTAGGATAGATGGTATAAATAATGAAAACATTTACCTTCATTTGTTTAGTGATTAAGTCTAATTTGATATTTCTGTCATGTTTTCAAAATTTGTAGACACATGCAAAAATGGATATCCTGGAAATTATTTTTTATTTTGTTTTTATAAGCAACTTGATAACCCTAATAAACTGTTTAGAAATGTTGGGGAAATGATAACAACAGATAGTGGCAGTGGTAACTAACGTTTATAAAGCATGCTGGGCTATGCACGCTGCCTGGTGCTTTACATACATTATCTTATTTCAACTGCACAAAGACTCGGCAAGACAGGTACCATTTCTCAACATTAAAAACAAAAAAATGTGTCCAGGGTCTAATAGTAAATAAACAAAGGTTTCAAATACAATAAAGAAACACGATTCAATGAACAAAAACCCACTTTGTTGCTAACTTCACCAGAAGACATCCTTTCTGTTAAGGAAAGACCCTGGTGTGTCACAAGGAATCTAAGATGAAGGTAAACGCGAGCATGGCAAGAAAATCTTTTTATCTATTGCTCTCCTTCCAGTAAATTATCAGTTTAAATGGAATTAATGAAGTATTTCTTTGTAATAACTGGGAAAATTAAATTCTTTAAATAGTTATAATTATGATTTTACTTGTTCTTATACTATAATTTTAATCTAAAATCAAAACAAAAAAAGAAATAAATCAAACCTTTCTCTGCATTCTTGATAGATTTTTTCTCTTTTCCTTAAAAGTCATGAACTTTTTTGGTTTATTAATGTCCTCTGTATCTTTTTTCACTTCTACTTCCTTGATTCTTAGGCACAAGAATGTTTTTAGCATCTAATATTGAAGAAGACACAAATGTAAGTATTAAGTTTATATTGCCTTCAAAAACTTTATACAGAAAAATATGCACTTAACAATGTTATTTCCTCCCTTAGTGCAAAGAAAGAAAGAGAAAAAAACCACCTTTGAACTATCTTTTATCACATTTCACATAAACATCTGTTATCTTTTTGCTAAATATATTTGATAACTTGTGTCTATGAAAGCACAACTACTATTTGGCTAAATACAAGTAATATTATTCTGCAGTTTGATGACAACAATGAAGAGAGAGCACATTCCTTGGTATTGGCAGACAGGAGTCAAAGAGTAGACAGGCCAGAAAAAGGTTTGAACCAATATTGGAGGAGGGGATATAAATTAGGTATTACTTTTTATTTTCTTGGCTGCCTCCTGCCCGCCCCCTACTGGGGAACGAGCCCACAACCCGGGCATTGTGCCCTTGATCGGCATCAAACCTGGGACCCTTTAGTCCACAGGCTGACACTCTATCCACTGAGCCAAACTGGCTAGGGCATAAATTAGGTATTTCTAAACCAGCTTTAATTTCCCATTTACCAAATGGAAAAATGTTGATCATATGATACAAACTTTCAGTTAGAAGATATGTAAGTTCTGGAGATCTAAAGTACAGCATGGTGACTATAGTTAATAATACTGTGTCATATACTTGAAATTTGCTAAGAGAGTAGATCTTCAGTATTTTCACCAAACAGGAAAAAAAGTAACCATGAAAGGTGATGAATGTCTTAACTAACTTGATTGTGATAATCATTTCACAACGTATACGTATATTAAATCATCACATTGTACACTTTAAAAACCCAAATTAAAGAATGCAGTTTATAATTCTAACATCACTAAAATGAAAGTGTTTCCCTCTGACCAAGTTTCATGTTCAAGCCTTATTATCTGATCACTCTACAATTCTGAATAAAGACACCAAATATGTTCTCTACTTAAGTACAATATTTATAATTTTCGCAGTTCAACTAAAATTATCAGCTTTAATGAAAGGGATCTGATGGCAAAGCAAGGCTGAAATTAGGAACTAGAACAGTAGAAATTGTGAGCTAAGCAATCAAAACTATATGACGAGATTTCATTTGGGGAATTGAGTATTTTCCCTTTCTACTTTACACACTTCTATAAATAAATACCTCATAGCAACTGAAAATTAACTTTGTAATTTAGAAACATAAATACCTCATGGCAACTGAAAATTAACTTCGTAATTTTAAAAAAACCGTGTAAAGTAAAATGCGAAAAACTTACCTCTGGCCTAACATCATAATTTCTGCCCTTCACAAATCCAGAAATCACTTTGATTACTCCAAGGGAAGCTTGGCCTAATTTATCTTGCTTAAAAAGTTTCTTAACTGCCTCGCAGCACATTTCAGATATCTGAAAAACAAAATGTCACACTAAACTGGCGTTTCTCAGCCTCAGCACTCCTGACATTTGGGGCCAGAGAATTCTTTGTTGTGGGGAGTTATCCTGTGCATTGTGGGATATTTAGATGCCTGGCCTTTATCCACAAGGCAGTTAACACCCCAACCACCACAGTCCTGACAATCAAAACTGGGGGTCGGCACAGCCTAATGCTCCCTGGAGGGCAAAACGGCCTCCTGTTCAAAGCCACTGCACTAAACTTACAGGGATCAAATAGTTTTCTTCAAGAAACAGTGTTTAGTAAAGTGATTCTATTTCAGCTCCAAAAATTTTTTGAGAGAAAAAAAGCCATATGGTCTATAATTTTCTGTTAAGCCCAACAGCAACAATCATTTAGAGCAGCCCACCGATTTTGACAGGTCATTCATGAGAGGGACAATCAGGACGATGATGTTGTTGTGAAAGTTGAAATGAGGCAGTGCCACCAACAGCTCACACAGGCTCTTCACAGCCACTTCTGCCAGTCCTTTGTATGCCTTTAAGGAAACTACATTACTTTTCTTCAGCTTCCTTTGTTTCCAGTCTAATAAAAAGATAACTCTAATTACTTACTTTACTCATTGGTCAAAACTTCAGCTAATTACCTTTCTTTTACAGTAATATTCGATAATATTAAAACTCAACCTACCATGCAAATTCTTAAATATGAGTTGTATCTATCCTTAGACAAGACAAAGGTCATCATCAAAATGTTTCTACACCATCCACCCTCTGACTCCAATCACAATTACCAGAGTCTTGGCTTTCCATGTTTTTTAAAAGATACATATATCAGCCCAGCTGGTGTGGCTCAATGGCTGAGCATCAACCCATGAACCAGGTCACAGTTCGATACCCAGTCAGGGCTCAGGCCGGGGTTGTGGGCTTGATCCCCAGTAGGGAGCGCGCAGGAAGCAGCCAATCAATGATTCTCTCTCATCATTGATGTTTCCATCTTTCTCTCCCTCTCCCTTCCTCTCTGAAGTCAATAAAAACATATTTAA